ATACCATATCCAGTTCATCAGCAAGTCCTGCTGGTTCACCTTCAAAATATTGGATTGTCAGAAAAGTCATATGATGTATTTTGTCTATGTTTTTCAAAGGTCATTTATTTATATAAAGAACAAAGATCAATCAATGATATATTGCCCGTTTTGTTCGATCACCTTTTGCCACCTTTCAGTGAGCTTCATAATTCCTCGTTCATAGAAGGACCTGTATTCATTTGCGAAAAACTGAACAGGTGCTGATTTACAGCCTCATCTGAATTGTACATTATACCAGCAAGGAGTTTTGAAGAGAGCGAAACAAGTGCAAGTCCGATGGTGCAAGGTCAGGCGAGTATGGTGGGTGTGGCAACACATCCCATCCAAGCTCCAATCATTTTTATGGGTGATCAAACTTGTGTGTGGTCTCGTGCTGTCGCGACAGAACACAACTCCTTTATAATTAACAAGCTCTGGACGTTTCTGGATGATGGATTCGTTCAAATTGTCCAATTGTTGACAGTACACATTCAAATTGATTGTTTGGTTTCTTGGCAGGAGCTCGAAAAACACACCTTTAAAATCCCACTGAGAGCATAACCTTCCTCTGATGAACATCTGCTTTCAATGTCGTTTGAGGTGAATCATAATGTCGGGACCAAGGCCATTTGCACACCACACTGTTGTACACAATCCACTTCTTATCACCAGTTACCAGTTGCTTCAACAAAGGATTGTTTTCCTCACGTTTAATGAGCATATTGCAGATGTTTATACGGGCCATCAAATGAACTTCTTTGAGTTCTTTGAGTTCATATCGAGCTTGCTTATGTATTCCAGCTTCTTCTGGTGGTCGTAAATGCTTGAATGATGGATGGTCAATGTTTCTGCCATCTCTCATGGGTTTGACTGCATCAATGCCTTTATTTTGTTGTTATCAACCTCAGTGGGCCTCCCTGACCAAGGAGCATCGTTGAGCTCAAAATCACCAGTAGGGAATTTTGTGAACCATCGTTGGCACTGATGTTCTTGTAGAGCATTGTCACCATAAACTTTATGAAACTTTTCACAAGCTTGATGCACATTCTTCCCTTTATGAAAGTAAAACAGCAAAATATGGCAAAAATGCACAGTTTGGTCTTCCACCTTCAACTTGTTGCAAACTCTCCAAAACTCAACAAAATTGCTAAATATTTTTTCAGAATGAAGCTAGAACTGTCAGCTGTCAAATGACATAGCAATAACATAGATATGAATGACTCTAGTACTTCCAAAAATGAACTAGTGCCATCTGTCGCAAACATGCATCATGACTTTTCCGACAACCCAATCTACCTAGCTTATTACCACTTCACTGCTTGGTACAAGCCACCAATACCTCACTTAAAAGAGTGGAAAAGAGCCTCCTAATTGGTCCACCTCTATCCTTACCCATGATATGGACTAGTAGACATGGCAGCCGTAGCAATTCTTTCAGGGGACACATCAGATCTTGTAATTACACTGCTCAAAACCTAGTGGTTTCTGGGGCTGGCCGAGTGGCACATTGGTTAAGAGCTGGCTTGGGACGCCAGCTCTGAGTAGCAGGGCCCCGATTCGGATCCCACATGAGGGCCAGTGACACTGCCCTCTACAGCTAAAATGGTGAACAACAGCTCAACCTGAGCTGGGCTGCCATGAGTCGCTGGCGATAGTATAAGCTGCAGCCCCTGCTGCAGTGGGCTGCCATAAGCTACCATGTGTGGCCAGCAGCCAGCATGAGCAGCCGGCAGCCGGTGTGAGCTGCCAAGAGCCGCCGTGAGTGGCCGTCCAGAGGCCGGCAACCGATCTGCCTCACCCAGGAAAAGTGCAATGATAATACCAACATGGGCCAGTGAAGCGAAGTCCTCCACAACTAGATTGAAGAACAAAAGGACAGCAACTTGTCTGTTCCCCTTCCCCTGATTTCCCAGAGCTGTTCCCCTCCTTCAATTCCCCAATAAAATCTTTTTAAAAACCTAGTGGTTTCCCATCTCAGAGTAAAAGCCAAACAATTGTCTATGAGGCCCTACCCAAGCTCCCCTACCTTTTTTCTATGGTCATATTTACTACCCTCCCCTTCACTTGGCTCCAAACACACTGGCCTCCTTGCTGTTACCTTCACAAATGAGGCACTATCCCACCTCAGGTCGTTGCATATGCTAGTTCATCCTCCTACAATGCTGTTCCCCCAAAAAAATCCACATGGCTTACTTCCAAGAACCCTTCAGGACTCTGTTCAAATATCAACTTATCTATAAGTCTTCCCTAGCCATCTCATTTAAAATCGTAACCCCACCACCCAGCCATTCTGCTCCCACTACCCTAGCCTCATTTCTATGCTTTATTTTTCCTCATAGAATGTATTTACCTACATCTGTCAAACTATATATTTTTATTATTTGTTTACACTAGAATGTAAGCACTATAATGGGAGGGATTTTTGTTTGCTTTGTTCACAGCTGTCCCCAGTGCCTAGAACACACCTAGAAAATAATCTATACCAAAAGACTTTCAAAAACCTTTCATTCAACTACAGAGGGTGCCTGAAAAAATGTATACACATTTTAAGATAACATCTCTTAAAATGTGTATACATTTTTGTTGATACTGGAATAATATCAGGCAAATTGTTATTTCAAAGACCAAGTGTGGGGCCGGCGGACTGGCTCAGTTGGTTAAGAGTTGGCTTAAGAGCGTGAGCTCTGAGCAACAGGGCCGCCTGTTCGATTCCCACATGGGCCAGTGACGCTGCACCCAAGCTGAGCTGTCACTGAGCTCCCAACAGGCGTCACGATGGCTCAGCTGGTGTAACAAGATTGCCTGTCTGATGGTGGGCTACGCCTACACACAACTAAAACTGAACTCGGCACCTTGAACTGAGCTGCTGCCCAGATGGCTCAGTGGATAGAGTGTGTGCTCTTAACAAGAAGGCTGTTGGTTCGACTCCTGCATGGGATGGTGGCTATGCCTACCCGCAACTAGGATTGAACACATCACCAAATAGCTTAGAAGCTACAAGCTCCCAACAGGAAGACAAGAGGTGACTGGCGCCCTCCACAACAAAGATTGAAGAACAACAACTTGGCTGGTCCCCTTCCCCAGTTCAACACTGTTCCCCTCCCCCAATTCCCCAGTAAAATCTTTAAAAAAAAAAAAAAAAGACCAAGTGTCATGAGGAACAGAAATCTCAAACCATCACCCATACTCCTGCATAGTACTGCAAAAGGAAAAGCCAGTTTGTGTCTCAAAATGCATTAAAAGTTCATTTTTCACTGTTTAACTTTGTTAAAGCCATTTGCACTGAGTCTAAAGAGTCCCAAGCCACACCTACAGGTGTTGTTTTAGCTTTACTAGGCATACAGACTTGAGATGGAGAAGGAAAAAAATACAGGCTTTTCCCTTTCAACAGTCACCAGTGACAGAAGGCCTCCAAGCAGACCTGATGCCACCAATGTTTAGGATGTTTAGGGAAGAAGGAATTCTAGAAAATAAAATAACCCCTTCACCAATCCCAAAAGAGGAATCTCTGTAAAATCCTCTGCAGGCATTTTTTTTCTGACTTTATACCCCTTAATAAAGCCATTCTTAATATGTACATGAAATCTTAATTGAAGCAATAACATGATTACATAATTGCACATACAGAAAAAATCTGATACTAATTCCTCTTTTTCAAAAAATTTTTAACTAAAACAGACTTATAGTTTTTGTTGAAAATGTTTTGCTGTGAAACTGACTTAAAAAGATTCTCAGCTAAGATGTGGGCGGATGGGTACTGTATCTTAGGGCTGAACAGTTTTGTTTACTATTGTTTATTATTTAATATATTCTTCCCAGCCCCTACCCACTCAAAAAGAAAAGTGAAGAAAAAAAAAAACATTGGTGCAATCAATAAGGAATGTTGTGTCCAAAGGAATCTGTTCTGAGGACTATGACTTGTTTAACACCGACACAGATAAAGTTCAGGAGGTAGATGTCACTTGTTTCACCCATTAAAAAAAAAAAATCGTGATTCAGATCCAAGAAGGCAAGCAGAAATGGGCGTGAAAAATGGAATCAGTCGTTTCTCCCCGGCCTCCTCCTGACACTGCGCACTCCTCACCCCCTCCCACCCACCAACCTTTAACGGCCCCTTTTCCCAGCGTCGCTTCCCCAGCTCAGCCCTGCACTGCGCCATCAAATGAGTCAAGAGGAAGGACCGGAGCCCCTCCAGGAAAGCCCAGGCAGTAACACACGGTGCGCCCAGCAGAGAGGAAAATATCCAACTACGAAAACTCGGGAACAGTGTACACAGTGTCACCAAAGCATCGTGCCGGTCCCCAGCGTTCAAAGGTCCTCGTCAGCTCCGTGACACTGCCAAATCGACAAGATTTCAAAAGGTGACTCGACCGTCATCGCAGAACGCGAAGGAGGCGGCGCAGACCCGGAACAGTCAGGGATGAAGTCCAACTAGCCTCCCGCCCAGCGCTCGCCCCGCGGGGCCACTACCGCCTCGGTTGGGGGCTCGCCCCGCAGCCCAGCGCTCTCCGTCACCACCCCCTCGAGGGGTCCTGGGCGCCGCGTCACGTGTCGGGGCTGAAACTTCGCAGCCGGGGCACAGAGAGTGGGGTGTGGGATACACGGGATCGCAGCAAGGCAGGGGAGTCAACGCGCCCGGTGACTCACTGGCCGCCTCCGTGTGCAGCTGCAGGCGAGGGGGCCCGCGAGCGAGTGGGGGCATTGCCCTCGGGGTCACCTCCGCCCCTGCCCCCGCGCCCATTATTAATAACCCCGCGCCCCAGAGGCAAAAGCCGGCAGCGGACGCCGTGGGCCCGCGGGCTCAGGAGCGCACCCTGCACGCGGAATAAATAACAATGTCATTAAATCGCTGCCCGAGCGCCCGGCGGGCCGGAAAACGGGCGCCGCCGGGAGCTGACTTTGTCTGAGCCCGCACCCCGCCTTCCGCGCGTCCCCCGCGTTCCTGAGGGGACCTCCGCACCGCCACAGCCCTGCCTTACCCGCCAGCTCATCGGGCTCCAGCCCGCTGTCCGCGTCGATCCCGCACACCACGAAGTAGTGCGCGAAGCGGCAGGCGGCCGGGGAGGAGCCCGGGCCGGGCGCCGCGCCGCTGCCGCTCATCCCGGCCGCGCTGCTCCTGCCGCCGCCGCCGCCGCCGCCGCCGCCGCTCTGGAAGACCAGAAGCCGAGACTGCTGCTCTGGTTGCGGTCTTCGCGTGCCCGTCCTAGGGCGACACCGGCGCGCCCATGGCCGCGCAGCCGCCGCTCGTTACCGCAGCTTCACTCCTCGCTCGGGGCCGGGGAAGCGGCCGCGGGCTCGCGCCCAGTGGGTCCCGGTCCCGATCCCGGTCCCGGGGGGGGAGGGCGCGCAGGGGGAGTGTCGGCGTGAGAGGCTCGCGCCGCCGCAGCTGCGCTAGTGAGCTGGGAGCTACTGCGTCTGGCGCCCGCCGGTCAGCTGAGCGGCGCGCGCGCGAATGGCACGCGTTTCGCCCGTGCGCGCGCGCGCCCAGCGGGCTACTGGGGAGCGCCCGGCGCGGGCGGGATTCGTGCCCGGCAGCCGGGGCTGCGGCGCAGGGGGCGACCACACACAGACACGCCTCCTGACCTTCTCCGAGCAGCTAGAGGGTTAGCCACAGAAAGGGATTCAGCCTTCTAAAGAGATGTTCCCTATCCTGATGTTAAAAAATTAAAATTAAAAAAAAAATGCAGCTTTAGGGAAGGTTAACAGCCGCTCCTAGATCATTTCCCACAACAGTCTGGACCATCAACATCTTTTGAACTGTGACATGAGCAGATGCCTATCTCGTTTTAAGATCTGAGTCCTTGAATTCTTCACCAAGCCCTCATCCCCATTCGCAAGCTACCCTTCTTCAGTGAATTGGTTGACAACTCAGCGGTGGGCGAAAAAAAACAAACAAACCCTCAGTACCCACAAAGCGTTGAGACTTGTAAAAGCACGACCACTGCCAACCTCCCCTCACCCCGCCACCCAATTCCGTAATTTATCCTGACATTTTCCAGGTCAGTGTAAAATAGCCAAGGCGCTCTAGTTCCCCAGCTCTGTACTCATTTGATATTATCAGCTCTCCCTGCAGGTACAATCGGAGACTGATAAGGCAACAGGAATTAGACTCTGAACTCTGATCCTAAGGCCATGGCTTTCTTACCTTACTCTTTCCTCTGATTATCCATTCTCAGACGGAGCTCACCAACCGGTTCTTATTCCTTTGAGATGCAAAGCTGAATGGATTCCATCTCCACATGGTCATCCCTTCCACACCATTCCCTACTCTCTTCTTTCCGGTTTTGGGTATAAGATGGGGTGGTGATGGAGCATCATGAACACCATTGTAGACACACAAGCAAACCTTCCAGGGAAGTAGAGAACGAACCTCACTTATCTGACTGAATAATGTTCTTCCTGGAAGATATTTATGCATACATACACCCTCATTTACTGTAGCTTGTATCCTCACTTTCGAAATGGAAGAAAAAAATCAAGAAATCAGGGTAAGGATAATTGACACAGCCAGGATAATTGACCTTTAGCTCCTACTGCACTCTGCACTTTTCCTTCAGAACACTTGTAATGACTTTTTCTGTGTCTTGTCTTCTTAGCTGGGTTGTAAGCTCCACAGAGCAGGAGCCATGCTTTCTGGTTCATCATATTTCTAGTATCTAGCAGAACCCTGGTCCCACCTGGCCCTCACCTTATATTTATTGAATGAGTGAAAAAAGGGTAGTTATCTAGGTTGTAACAAGTTGTTGATGCTACTAGGAAAATGCACAAACTTTAATATCTGTAACATATTTATGAACATGTACTCATTTGCTGTTATACAATGTCTTTCCTCATATAGAGGGTACTGAAATATGCAAAAAGAAATTTCACTAATGAGGAGGGGAGGGAGTAACTGGATGTGTATTTTTGGTGACAGCTTCTTATGGAATGTTGGTTAGACTAATCAAACAAAGCACAATAGAAAACTAATTTATTGTTTGTGCTAACCAAGAGACATGTCACTTTTTGTTCATTTGAGGAGTAACTGATTTATGAGCTTGTAAGTCCTGCATTAATGTTTTTAAGATGAAAAAAATAGGAAGAAGCCCAAACAGAATTCATTGAATTATGATGTATAAACAAAATGAACAAAATCTATAAAAATCTTTCCTAAAGCTTTCAAGAGAATAGTCACACATTATAATAGTATACACTATTTTGAAAATACCTGGGTATGTTCCTAATTATCACTTCAGAATGACACTGTGTAGGTATATTCCGCATTAAGCTGCAATGAAACAGTTGAAAGGGTAATCAACAGTTAACTATATATCATTGCATACATGTTTTCCTCTAAAATAATGACAGAAATAAATTAGCTTAGTGAACACAAATGACTTGAAATAAATCTTCCAAAATATTTAAATTGTGTTGAGGAGGAGAGAGATCATATACCTCTTACCATGCTAAGACAACCCTTATTAACACCATTCTTCACCTCCACCATGCCATACACACATACACACAACCAAGACAGAAGGGGTTGTTAAAGTAACTACTCAGAGCCCCAGACATTCATTGGACCACATTTTACTTGTAGTCAGTCATCATATGCCATGAGGTTAGCAGTCAGTCCTATTGATTCTTTTGTTTTGTTTTGTTTTGGTTTTGGTTTTGGTTTTGGTTTTTAGCTGAGCCATCCTGCCACCTGTTGGCAGCTCAGTGGCAGCTCAGCTCGGGCCGGGAATCAAACCAGGGCGACCCTGTTGCTCAGAGCTCACACTCTTGAGCGAGCTGTTAACCAACTGAGCCACTTGGCCAGCCCGATTCTTCACTCTTCTGCTTCCTACAGGCAGCAGCCCCTGGCAGGGCTCAGCTACTCGAAGCATAAGTCATGCTCTCCATTTCAGGTTTTACCATAGTTCTTCAGAGGTAGCAGATCATTCATTGCTCAGATACTTAGAGCGTTGTCTTTCATCCTGCTGTTGTTCCTTGTGCATCTCTACCTGAATTGAATTGAGAATTTATTGCAGTAGAGGCAACAATCCCAACTTTAACCTCTAAATAACACAAAACATGCCAAGTAAACACAATTCCAACCAAAGAAAACCTTGAGTGACATTTTCTTCTGCCAGAGAAAATGCTTTCTGGGAAAATCTTATCACAACAAAAGGTTATTTGGAAAATCAGTAAACATATTCTCTTATCATAGTTTCAGAAAAAAGGTCAGTTTATGCCAATAGTAGTTTGGTACAAAACAGATGACTCACAATTTTGCATAAATCTGTTTCTACCTTATATAATACAATAAGTCCAATATTATCAAAAACCTTTTATGTAAGTCATTGTGCTAATGTTTTGAGAATATGAAACTAAAAAGAAAGACATGATCCCTCTTCTTCAGGAGTTTATAGTCTAGGAGGAAGGAAAATATTTTCAAAAAATAATTAAAATACCAAAAAGAGATCATAAAAATAAAATGTGGTATATTCCACATGACAAGTTCAGAAAGTGATACAGGATTTAATGAGCAGAGGGGTCAAATCCTGTTAAGAAATCCAGTTAGAAATTATGAAAGTGCTAATATTTGAGTTGGGCCTTATAAGAGAAATCAGATTTCATCAGGTAGAGATGGGAAGGAAGACATTCCAGGCACAGAAGAAATGCTGGGCTATAAAAAGTGTGTAGAAGACAGTAGTAGTTCAGTTGCAGCCCGAGCATGAAGAGCCTTGAAAACCAAGCAAGTGGAGTTGACTCACTTTCTATACTCTTATATCTACTTTGCTGATACCTGAAAGTTAGTCTTAGCTAGCTTTGAGTGAGTTTAATATAGAATATTTAAGATCAGCTAAGCCACCCCCCTCATTTTACAAATAAAAATATCTAAATCTCACAGAATTTTGGTGGCTTACCCAAACACACATTGTTAGTGACAGAACCAGGAGCAAAGCCTAAAAGACTTGATTGTAGGATATCTTAAAGGCCCTTTCAGTTCTAACGTCTATAAAACCTCTTTACATGGGTTGGCTAACCTTTCCTTCTGTATGCTGCTTATAACTTCTTTTCAGAGATTCACTTCAGAATTTGGTTTTTTTTCTTCTTAAAATGAAAAATCCAAATATACAGAAAGACTAGAATAATGAACACCTATATACCCATCACCTAGTTTAATATCAATATTTTGCCATTTTTGTATCACCTATTTGATTTTTACTAAAGTGTTTGAAAGTAAATAAGGCATGACATTTGTCAACATTTTGATGGTCTCTGTCTTATCTAAAGTTTCACATGAATGTTTCTTTAGTTTTTCAATGAAATCTCCAAACGTTCTCCTCTCCCTTTACCTCACGTAAAACATCCAACATTAGCTCCTGTTCATCATCTAGTCCTATTCTCTCGCCCTCTTTTTTCTAACAACACTATAGTAATTTCATATGTAATTGTTTTCTCAGGACTACCTCCTTCTTTTGATAACCCCCTTCCCTTCATTCCACCCAAATTGTTCTCTCAGGAGCTACAATGTTATGATAAAACTTCATACACATTCTCAATCTCTCTCCCTCTCTCT